ATCAAGCGCATACATGCGCGGGTGTGTGAAGCCAGCTGCGAAACCCACGACGTATTTCAACTGGAGCACGAGCTTAAATCACTGGAAACACACTTTCAGCGATTCACTCTTAATCACGATCATCTTGTAGGCCAGGCTACCAAGGATGAGGTTGCACCGCATGACGCCTTATGGGAAGCAATTGAGGCGTTATATGACGACGCTTGCTGTCGCCTCAATCGTCCGATAGCAAGCACAAAGTCGGTTCCGGCTGCGGCCTCAACCGACCACGTGCTCAACACTCATAGCGCTCTGTTGGATGGGCGTTCGGTCGACCTGAAAATTGACCCGCTGGTGATTCCGGTATTCGATGGGAGGATGTGTAATTGGCTTGCGTTTAAGGACGCATTTGAGACTCTCGTACACAAGTCCTCCTATCCAGAAGCGTTCAAATTAGGGAAGCTTCGGCAATCTGTCAATTCAAAGGAGGTCCCGCTCATAGGTGGTGTTTATTCGGGTGGCTACGAGGAGGTTTGGCGCGCGTTAAAGGACCGTTATGATAACAAAAAGCAACTCGCAGAAATCCATGTGACGCGATTCCTTAACTTAAAATTGTCGACAGAAGATCGGCCAAGTCTTTGCTTGCCATTGTGGACACGGTTTACGAGTCGCTACGCGCGTTGCGGGTTATGGAGGTGCCTGTCGATAAATGGGATGCATTGGCAGTTCCCATCGTTATCTCCAAGCTACCTATTATCACGAAACGCGACTGGTCTATGCGTTGTTCTTCACATGAGATACCGCTGTTGGAGGATTTGCTGAAATTTCTAGAAAAAAGAGCACATAGCCTATGCCAGGAGACATCCATTGAGTCGGTGCGATTGCCGCGAACAGTAAAGTCTAACGTGGTTTCCACGGTTGATGGGAAGTGTGCCCATTGCCATGGCATTCATCGTATCACGAGATGTCCCACGCTTGCAGCAATGTCACCCGGGGCACGTTTTGAGGCGGTTAAGGGATCGAAGCTTTGTTATAATTGCTTAAGGGCTGGACATTCGTCGAAACAATGTTCTTCTGGTGGATGCCGTAATTGCGGTCGACAGCATCACACGCTGCTTTATCGCGAGAGCCTAACAGGATTAGCAGCTTCAGGCTCTCAGTCCAGCTCAAAGGTCATCGAGGCTACCCCGCAAGCTGTACAGCCTGCTCCAAACTTATGACTAACGTCGCCAATGACAACCTGCGTTGCCCAAGCCAGACCTACGATTATGTTGGCAACAGCGCGTGCACACATCTATGGGGATGCAGCAGTTCAACGATTGGCTCGAATTTTGTGCGATCCAGGTTCGCAGGTTAGTTTTATTAAAGATCGCTTAGCTCGCTTAGAGATTAAAAATACACAAATGCGAATTGAATGTAGAGGGGATTGGATCGAGTATTAGTACTCGAACTACGGGTAGTGTTATTGCAACCATAAAGTCATTGCATTCAAACTTTGAAACCAAAATCAACGCTTTGGTGATCCCGTCAATCACATCGGACACTCCTGCCGTGCGTTTAGACGTTAACCAGTGGCAACACCTGGCTGGCCTTGATATGGCCGATATTTATTTTGGTACACCTGGGGCTAGAGACTGCCTCATTGGAGCTGATGCCTGGGGTAGAATCGTGGAGGGTCACATCATCGGTGGCAGACCAGATGAACCTTATGCTCAACGCACTCGCCTTGGTTGGGTAGTTTTTGGTCCAGCGTCAGAAGTTTTGTCGAAGGAGAACTCATCGCTCGTGCTCAGCGAAAAGCTAGTCGAGGATGATTTGTNCTGCCGTGCGTCTAGACGTTAACCAGTGGCAACACCTGGCTGGCCTCGATATGGCCGATATTTATTTTGGTACACCTGGGGCTATAGACTGTCTCATTGGAGCTGATGCCTGGGGTAGAATCGTGGAGGGTGACATCATCGGTGGCAGACCAGATGAACCTTATGCTCAACGCACTCGCCTTGGTTGGGTAGTTTTTGGTCCAGCGTCAGAAGTTTCGTCGAAGGAGAACTCATCTCTCGTGCTCAGCGCAAAGCTAGTCGAGGATGATTTGTTGCTGGAAGAATTAGTTCACAATTTTTGGAAGCTTCAGGAGGTCCCCGTGTGTGCATCAGACGATGATGATGAATGTGATCGAATATTTGCAGCCACACACTCCCGTACTAGTAATGGACGTTACGTGGTGCAGCTGCCGTTCCGCCGCGATGCACCGAGACTTGGCGAATCATATGCGCACGCTCTTCGCCTATTTCAACGCCTAGAAAGACGTCTCGTTGGTGACTCTGAGCTTAAAGATAATTACATTAAGTTCATGCGTGAGTACGTAAGTCTTGGCCATATGGAACCCGTAAATAACGTAGGTGATCACACCAACGGCTACTACATTCCCCACCACGCTGTAACCACCAAATTTAGAGTGGTGTTCAATGCATCGGCACCAACTAGTACTGGCGTGTCACTAAATGAGGTGCAAATAGTGGGCCCGACCATCCAAGACTCGCTCATCAATATAATTTTACGTTTCCGACGCTATAGGGTGGCCCTAACAGCCGACATTGAGAAAATGTTCCGGCAGGTACTCGTTGCCCCCAAACACCGAGACTTCCAACGGATCCTTTGGCGCGAGTCACCCTCGGATGAACTCAAGGTGTATCGACTAACAACGGTTACGTATGGTATGGCGTGCAGCCCGTATAATACCATACGTGCACTCCAACAATGTGCACGCGACAATCACAACGTAATATCGGACCACCGGCAAGCCGCGAAAGCGCGCGATACCATTTTAACGTCATTTTCCGTTGACGATTTTTTGACCAGTTGTGAGAACGCAAAGGACGCTAAGGTCTTAGCTCACAATGTTGATGAAATTCTCTCCGCTGGGAAATTTACATTGAGGAAATGGAACTCCAATGATGCTGAGGTAATGGAATACTTGACCGGTAACATTTCTTCCTGCGCTGGCTTAGAAATAAACCCTCCTACGGCTGCCGTACTTGGATTACGGTGGGATGCTGCCGCTGACCAGTTCTTCTTCCAGGTGGTTCTCAAGCAAGCAGGTCCTACACCAACTAAACGACGGGTTCTCAGCGAAGTTGCTCAGCTTTTTGATCCCACGGGCTTTTTTGGCACCGGTGGTGGTCCAGGGTAAGGTGTTTATACAGCGAATGTGGTCCGCTGGTCTTTCGTGGGATGCACCGTTGTCTGATGATCTTCGCGACGATTGGATAAACTATCGGTCTATCGAGGAGGTACTCAACAAAGTTCGTGTAAATCGATGGTTAGGCATGGCGCACGGTGTGCAAACGACTTTACACGGCTTCTGCGATGCCAGTTCGCAAGCAGTGATTTACACAAGAACTGTAGGCGCAGGCGAAAGAGTACAACTCGCATTGCTGACAGCGCGCACAAAGGTGGCTCCACTTAAGGGATCTACCATACCACGTCTCGAGCTCTCGGCAGCGCTCTTGTTGGCAGAAACACACCAAGCTGTAAGAAGCGCTTTGGGTTTGATGAACGCCCCCTATTATTTGTGGTCGGATTCGTCGATTTCTCTTTGTTGGATAAAGAAACACCCAACAACGCTTAAGCCATATGTATCGAATCGAGTACGCCAGATTCAGGGGCTCACTTCCTCCGATCGATGGCATCATATCCGGTCGGCACAGATCGAACTGCTGGAGCATCCGCTTTGGTGGCA